CCATTTTATCTAACATATAATCATTTCAGGATTTCCCCGGCGGTCCAGAAGTTAAGACATCGCTTTCCAATGCAGGGGATTGCAGGTTCAACCCCTGGTTGGGGAGTTAAGATCCCACATGCCTCATGGCCAAAAAAAAAACCAGAACATAAACAACAGAAGCAATATTGTAGTGAATTCAACAAAGCCTTTAAAAATGGTCCACATTCCCCCACCCTAAAAAAATATAAACATTTCAACCTGTAATCAATATAAAAATTTATTGCTTGGTTCCTTTACATTTTTTTCTTACTAAGTCTTTGAAAGCCAGGGTCTGCTTCACACTCATAGTGCATCTCAATTCGTACCAGCCACACTTTAAGACCTCAACAGATGCATATGGCCGGGGGCCACCATGTTGGACAGCGTAGAGCTAGAGTCGCCTTCAATCTAGAGCCCATCTTAGGGAGTGACACATCTCAGCTCTCTCCCTTCTCCCTGGTAAAGCGGTCCTGGTCCTAGACTTTGAACTGAGAAGTTCCTTTCAAGCCCGGAGCAGACAATCTGAGGCCACAGTGGAGAGAAACCCCAGGCTGCCTGGGCCACGGAGGCTGGTAGGAAGGCTCTCTGTTCTATGCAGCCTGATTACTCAACAAAGCCCCCGGGAGCGAGACAACTCTGCTTTTCCTCCCAACCCAAAGATTCCCTTAATTGGAAATTCAATCTGAGCTTAAAACCAAGTCAAGCAGCTGCCCACGCTCTCCCCCACCCCCCGGTGCCACCAGCCCTGTGGGCATCCAGGATAAGGAGCCCTAACCTCCCCTCCTGGTGGCACCGCGTGGAGGAAGCTGGCACCACCTTCTCACTGCTGAGACTCAGTGCCCAGCCGAGGGCCTGGCCACCTTCTTGGAGGGAGCTCTGTGTCTTCATGTTCAAGGGCACCTCCTTGGCAGGAAGGACCGGGAGGGCAGGGAAAGCAAGTGGGCGGACAGGGGCAAGCTTCTGTCCCCAGCAAGGGAAGACCTTGGGGAAATCCCTCTTTCTCTGCAAGCTTCCATTTCATCATCTTTAAAATCGAACATGTTAAATGATGGCAAAGACTGCTTTGACTGTTGGCTGCTCTATGCCAGGTATTTTTCAGGCATTATCTCACCTACTCCCCAAAACAAACCCAGGAAAGAAAAAAGAGCCAGGGTTCAGAGTGGTGAGGCAACTTGGGCAGGGTCACACAGCAATTCAGTACAAGAGCCAGAATTTCAACTCGTGGACTTCCAAATCAAGAGTTTAAGCTCTTACCTCATTTAAGCTCTTTTGAGCCCCAGGCTGGCACAGGACAGTCTTGGCTTATGCCTGTCGTAACTATATACACTTGGCATAATAACTTTAAATGTTCCTTTGGAGAGAAGAGACAAATCTTCCATACAGAAGAATTTCTAATAACACATATGGATACTTTCCCCTCCAAAAGGTAGAGGTTAATTCCAGACCCTTACTGAGTGTGTGCTGAACTGGGTGTCTGGGATCCAAAGATTAAAATAGGGGAAGGAGAAAATGGTAATTTGACAGCAGAGAAACCCAGCAGACACCACCTTAAAGTCTGAAGTTTAGTTAACAGTAAGGTACAAATGTTGAAGTTTAGTTAACAGTAAGGTACAAATGTTGGCTTTGATGAACGTGTCACTGTAATGAAAGAAGCTGACATTAAAGGAATCTGGGTTAAGAGTATATGGGAACTCTCTGTACTACCCTTTCAGCTCTTCAGTAAGTCTACAATGATTCCAACATCAAAGTGCTATTTTTAAAAAGTGACCCCTTGGGACTTCACTGGTGATCCACTGGGTAAGACTCAGAGCTCCCAAGGCAAGGGGCCTGGGTTCAACCCCCAGTCAGGGAACTACAACCCGCATGCTGTAAAGATTGAAGATCCCGTGTGATGCAAACTAAGACTCTGCAGCCAAGTAAATACTATAAAGTGCTCATAAAAGCATCCGATAAATCATGACTATCTGGCTCTGCCCCTAACCAAGAAATCTTAAGAAAATTACCCATACCTTCTTTCTGCCTTAATGACAGTAACTATTCACACATTCCTAGTAACTCAAAGTTTGCAATGTTTAGAGTAGGCAAATGTGCTGGTTAAAGCTTTGGAATCAGAAATGTAGGAGCTGAAGCCCTGGTTCTCTCACTTGCTTGCCAGGTGGCCTGAAGCATACTGTCTTCCTTCTCTGGGTCTCAGTTTCCACATCTGTAAAATGAATTCACTGAAGGACACGACGACTAGCAGTATCTGTGGAGCCCTTGCTAGGTGTCCAGCACGGCGGTGGATACTGTGATGTGCTCCCCAGTTTCCCCTTCAGAACCACGGATTTACTTCTCGCCTCCTCCTGCCCTCAACCCAGCTGCTCAGAGTGCAGCCTACTGTCAGTCCTGTCCAGGAACTGCCACTAGCTAAAGAGAGCCGACCAGCCCCAGGTCACGTGCCTTCCTGAGGTCAGCTTGGATTCAATGCAGAGGCTCCAAAGATCCAGCTCCCTCGCTCCAACTTGGGAGAACTCTGAAGGTCATCTCCACTGCAGGGCGCCCCTTGTGGTCTGCTGAGGCATTGTGGAGACTGCATTGCAGCCCAGCATGACCCTCTCTGCCCAACCCTGCCTCCTTCCCTTCCCCAGATATTGATCCTCAGAGTCTGCCCTGCATATTAATTAAACTTCCTGCATATTAACTTCCATCTCAAAGTCGGCTTCCGAGAGAACTCGTCCCATGACAGAAATGTGGACGATTGGACGTGCACTGTGTTTCTTAACCCTCAGACCAACCCCTTTTTAGACATGAGACAACTGAGGCTGATTTAGCCAAGAACATACAACTAAGAAATGGTGGCATCACAGACTGGGGATGGAAGTTCAGATGGGCAAACTGAGTTGCCCACGTCTGAGCTGAAAGATGATAGAGCTAAGACTCGGCCCTTCGCCTGCTTAACCCTGAAGACTACAGTGTGAAAGCCTCCATCCCAGGCCATTTCGAGCCACCAGCAGGAGGGTTCTCGGCACGGAGCAGGCTGGTACCTCTCACCACTGTCCTGCCACACCCTCTGTTGCCCCCACAGTTCATCAACACCTGCTAAATGGGATTAACAGCAGTACCTACCTCCTCATGACCTTGTAAAAATTAAATGAGTTACTATACATCCCTGATGGCTTCCCTGGTGGCTCAGATGGTAAAGAATCCGCCTGCAATGCAGGAGACCTGGGTTTGATCCCTGAGTCGGGAAGATCTCTTGGAGAAGGGACTGGCAACCCACTCCAGTATTCTTGCCTGGAGAATCCCATGGACAGAGGAGCCTGGTGAGCCACAGTCCATGGGGTCACAAAAAGTCAGACACGACTGAGCGACTAACACACATACATGAAGACATCAGAATGGTGACTGGCTCACAGCAAGCCCATTGTAAGTGTCAGAATATAAACAAATCATATAAGCAGCATAGAGTTGCAACTGCGAATGTTGTAAGAAGACATCTGTGCAGCTGAGTGAGAGTCAAGCTGTGACAGGGGATGGGGCCTCAATATGGGGGTCCGACTTGACCCCATCTCTGAAGGAGGAGTAGAAATGAAGGGGCAGCAAGAAGAAGGAAGAGTAGTCCACGCAGAGGAATCAGCGGGAGCAAAAGCCTTCGGATAGGAGGAACTAGAGAAGGATGATGAAAGGCCAGTATGACTAGCACAGAGCCAAAAATCCAGGTCCTAGGACAGGGTGGTAGAAAATGAGGCTGGATAGGAGGGTAGGAACCACTTACTACCTGGTCACTCACTACCTGGGTGATTTGCAACTTTATCTTTCAGAGTCTCATTTACATCATCTGTAAAACGGAGATAAAAATAGTACAAAATCATTAAGGAGACTGAATGAGTCAATATTTGTAGACCACTTAAAATAATGCCAAGCACACAGCAGGTGTTATAAACGTTTGAAGGTAACATTGTAACTTTTCCTGAAGTACAGTGAGAAGACTACAGGGGCTTGAATATGGATGAAAGCATAGGTACTGACTGGATGGAGAGTGGATGGATGAAGGGCTGGCGGATGGGTCAGTGGAGGTGGTTGAGAGAATGGACAGGTGGATGGATTGCTGGGTCTGTTTGGGTGATGAAGGTGGTTGGATGGATGGATTATGACTGGGTAAGTGGTAGAAGCAGATGTTGTTTAAGTGGAGGGAAGCATGATTGGGTAAAGGGGTGACTGGATAAATGGAGGAAATCAGATGAATGAAGGTGGTGGGGTGAAGGGATGCATGGTTGAATTTAGGATGCCTGGTGGTTCAGTGGATGGGAGAAATTGAATGAACGTGGGTGCTGGGGATGAGGGGACGGATGGGTGGGTGAACGGGTGTCTGGGTGGTTGGATTGGTTGTGGATGGATGGGTGGATGAGTGCTTGGTTCAGAGGGTGTAAAGATGGAAAGTTGAATGGACAGATGAAATGGTTGGGTGGATAAGGTGAATGTTATATATGGGCTGAGTGGACGGATGGACAGATGAGTTGGGTGAATGCAGGGATTGCTCAGGTGGGTAGTAGAGAAGTTAGGTGAGCAAAGGGGTTGGGTGAATGGACGAATAACAGGGTGGTTGGATGGGTAACTGGGTGGTAGAATGGGTTGTTGGGTAGTTGGATGGGTAACTGGGTGGTAGAATGAGTAAACAGAAAATTAACTGGCTGGGTGGGTGGGACGGTCAGCTGGGTTGAGAAATGGTTGTTCAGGTCACTATTATAAAGGTTGGGTGAACGTAAGGTTTACGTGAAGGGAGGGACCGGGTGGACGGGAGAATCGAGTATATAAATGGATGGACAATGAATGGATGGGTGAATGGGTGACATGAGATCCCGAAGCACCGCCAACGAACCCTCTATATAAAGTCTTGGGGGGAACCCCTGATGGTGAAAGACGCAGAAACAGGGCCGCGCTGGCCCGGGACCCCTTCCCGGAGTGGGGCGCTGCCCATCCGCGCCCGCCCTGGGTCCTACCTGGAGGCGGCGATCTCGGCCTTCTGGCGCGCGATGGCGGCGGCCCGCTGGGCGCCCTCCACGCTGTGGTCCACTTTCTGGCGGACCTTGCTGCTCTTGAGCGGCAGCACGCGGCGCTTGGTGCCCTTGACCAGCACGTTGTGGCGGTACTTGCCCTCCTCGCGGCGGCCGTCGGGCAGCGTGGTGCAGCCGTAGCCGTGGCGCAGGTTGTCCAGCCACTCGCCCTCGTAGCGGAGGCCGCTGGAGCGCTCGCTCACGCCGAAGCCCGAGCGCTTGTCGTTCTTCCACTCGCCCATGTAGGTCTCGGTGGTGGTGGCGTCGATGTCGGCCTCGAAGGGCGCGGCCTCATCGGCGCCCTCGGCCAGGCTGCCGGTGGACGCGGCGTCGCTGGCGCCCGAGCTGAGGTCGCTCTTGAGGAAGCTGACGCGGCTGCGCTGGCTGCCCAGGGACGTGCGCGACTCGGCGCGGCGCAGCTTCCCCAGCAGCGCGCCCCGCTGGAACAGGCCGCCGCCCTTGGCCGCCCGCGCCACCGCCTCGGCGTTGGCCAGCAGGCTGAGCGCGAAGCCGCCGCGCGGGATGGCCGGCCCGGGCAGCGCGGGGCCGTCGGCGGCCGGCGAGGTGGGCGAGTCCGGGGCCAGCGTGCCGTTGCTGTGCTCGCTGCGCAGGGACGAGAGCGAGGTGCGAAGCGGCGAGCGCACCACCACGGCCATCCCGTAGGGCACGCTCTGGCGCACGCCGTAGCCGTGGCGCATGCCGTTGGTGAACTGGCCTTGGTACGTCCCTGCAGGCGAGGAGAGGACGGTCAGTGCGGCCCCCAGGGCTGCCAGGGAGCCTGGCCGTGCCGCGGGCCAGGCCGTCGAGGGGCAGGGGATGTGGAGTGGCCGGAGCCAGCGGGCCTCCGAGGGTTGAGGTCGCCTGAGTGTGTGAGAACACACGCCTGAAAGGCAGGCGTTGATGCAGTGCTGTGAATAGTCCCGTTGGCGGGAACGTGGCAAGGTCACGAGCATGCCAGATGGAGTAAGGTGGAGTGTCGCAGGGCATCAGTGTGTGAAGCCGTGCCAGCAGGCGGGGTCCCTCGAGTGCATGGAGTTACCCGAGTGTGCCCGGACATGAGCAGACGGTGGGTATATTTCTCCTGGTGGGAACACACTAGGGTCTTTAGTGTTCCAAACAGAGTGAGGTTGAGAGAGCCCTTTTAAGTGAAGTGTGAGCAAGTAAGGCTCTGTGAGTGTGAAGTTAACTGAGCGTGCATAGAAATGGAATCACACAAGAGAAATGAAAAGTGCCAGAGCGAGAGTGGGTAAGACAGTGAGTTTGTGCAGTAGTGTGCAAATTGCATTTGTGTGAGTGTGCAAGGCAGTGTGTGCACAGAGGGTGACCGAGACCACACCAACGGGTCGTCATGAGATGTATGTAAGGTTATGAGAGCACTTGCGGTCTTCAGTGTGCAAGGACAGGTAAAGTTGAGTGAAGGTGCAAGACTGTTAGAGGATCAGAGTGCAAACTTGTGAGCAGGCAAGGTTCTGTGAGTATGTGAGGTTAAATGTGCATGGTTATCCTGGTGTTCAAGGTGAAGTGAAGATCCAAGGTCATGAATGACTAAGGCGGTGTTTTCATGGTGGTATGAATGTTGGAGGGCATGGGCAAGTGTGTATTTGTGCAAAGCCATGTGTAGAGAAGACTGTTGGGGGCATGCATATCAGTGTCTTTTGACTGTATAGGCTGTGTGTGTATGCAGTGTGTACTCGTGGCGTGACTGCCTAGTGGAGGTGATGTTACGGGCATGTGTGAGGTCTGAGTACGCAAGGCCACCTGAGTGTTAAAGTGCAAAGTAATCTGAGATTGAGACACCCGATGCTGAGTGAGGCTGTGAGGTTGGGCACATTAATGAAACTGAGATCGTGTGACACTACGTGTACGCAGGATAGTGGCGTGTACAGGGAGCTATTAGCAGGAAGGCCTTGTGTGTCCATGAGTGTGAACACATGAGCTCCTGGGAACTAGAATCTGTGCATGTGACTGTGACATGCACAGAGGGGCAGAAGAGAATGGTGGTTAGAAGCACAGACTCCAGAGCCAGGCTGCTGACTCTGAATCCTGCCTTGGCCCTTGCTAGCTGTGTAACCTTGGGCAAATGGCTTAACCTCTCTGTGTCTCAGCTGTCTCACCCATTAAAGAGGTAACAGTTACCTCTTACCTCATAGGGTTGTTGTAGATTTAAATAAGTTAATATTGCTGATGAACTATGAAGGAAAAGATATGAGTGTGATTTTGTGATTCTGCAAAGTTGTGCAAGTGTGAGTGGTCACCTAGCTGCATGAACAAGCTGATACAAAGCTACAAAATAGCTTCATATTCCACCCCCATCCTAACAGGCTGTGCTCCCTGGGGCTCCATCCAAGACCTCCCTCTCCCACCGCCACCACCCCCTCCATCCTCCCTGGGGGATTGCATCATCTGGTACTTTTATAACTGCCTCCTATCTCCTGCTGGTTGTCCTGACTATATCCACAACCTCTTCCCCTCTGCAGTTCCACCTTGAAGATGGGTGCCCCCAGATGTGACACAGCATCTCCAACTTGTCACCCCACCTCCCTGCGCCCCCACACCTGTTCTTCCTTCTTGATCTTTCTCCCCGCACCCCTGAAAACCATTTCTCTGCCTCCATCTTTGTGCCTGGAGTATACAGAACAGTGCCTAACACATCATGTTCGCTGAAGTGAGGGGGGAATTCAGTGCCTTTGTTTTAAACACAAGCTGATATGCAGCCCTGGCTAACCAAACAACCAAATGGTTTCCCAACAAATACCCGGGATGGCTGCCAAGGGACCCCTAAGGTCAACCCAGCAGGCAGGCTCCCATTCAGACCTTTGCACTGGCTGTTCCCTCTGCTTGGAACTCTTTTCCCTCCCAATGTCCTTGAAGTGTTTGCTCATTGAGGCTTACCTGACCACCTTATTTAAAATTACAATCTGCCTGGGTCTTCCCTGGTGGTCCAGTGGTTAAGAATCTGCCTTGCAATGCAGGGAACATGGGTTCAAGTCCTGGTCGGGGAACTAAGATCTCACATGCCGCAGAGCAACAAAGCCTGCGACCACAACTAGAAGTCCCTGTGCCAAAACAAAAGATCCTGCGTGACGCAACAAAGATCCATGTGCTGCAATCAAGACCCGATGCAACGAACTAAACAAACAAAAGTTTGTAAAAAGAAGTAAAATGATAACCGCTACCCAGGTTTCGTTCACCTTCCTTCTTTGCTTTTTGTTCCTTCATAGCATATCTAATATTACATATATTTTGCTTTTTCTTTTGTTTTTTTACTATCTTCCCCCAGTTTCCCTGGTGGCTCAGTGGTAAAGAATCCACCTGCTGACACAGGAGACACGAGTTCAATTCCTGGGTCAGGAATATCCTCTGGAGAAGGAAATGGCAATCCACTCAAGTATTCTTGCCTGAAAAATCCTATGGATAGGAGTCTGGCAGGCTACATGGGGTTGCAGAGAGTCGGACATGACTGAGCACATACACACACATACATGGCACATCTCCCTAGTAGAATGTAAGTTCCATAAATGCAGGGTTTCCATTCTTTTTTGTTCACTGTTGTATCCTTAGTACCTAAAATAATAACATTATTCAATAAATATTGTTAATAATATTCAATAGATATTTGTTGAAAGAATGAGTGCGTGAATAGCATGCATTTTATAACTATTTTCTCTTCTTTCTGCTCTAGTCAGCTAAAAACGGATCTGCGAAAATGACCAGAGAGATGTTTAGTGACTCCTATAAGACTCACCCAAGATGACACAGTTAATAAATGCAGAGAGTCACAACTCACATCCATATCTGACTGTGCTCCTTCCAAAGTCTCAGAAGAAGAAAGAAAAAAATGAGACAGAGAAGTGGACAAGAGACAGGACATTGTGGACAGACAATGAGACAAGAACAGGACAGAGAAGATGGTAATCCAGAGGAAAGAAAAGAAGACAGATAATCTCTGAATTGAGTAAGTTTGTGAAATCAAATCAACCAATCTACCTTTCGCTTAAATTTGGCATGAGATCGGCTGATGTGGCCCCTTTAAGCCCAAGAAAAACTGAGATTGCAACAGGAGAGTGGCTCTTGGCCTCCAGCTGGGGAGGAAATGGCCAGGCTATATTAGGAAACTTACAAGCAAGTGACAAGACGTGCAGACACCCAGGGGAGGCTGGGAGTGAACGGGGCCCTGGGAAGGGGAAGAGCCAAGTGCTGGGGCCATCCCCTGCCTGACTCTCTCTAAGACAGGACAGTTCTCTCTGGGGACAGGAAGAATGCGTCCAAAGAGGGAGAGGAGAACCCACCCATAGCCATCTGGCTGAGAGGAGCCCTCTCTGTATGGAAGTGCTTCCTTATACCCTTTGGGATGGTCCCTTCACTTGAACTTGGAGGGCTTGCCTGCAGGGTAAGGACCACGATTCTCAGCAGGCTGCAAGGCCTGACATGGGCTGCCCCTGCCCACCTCTCCTGATTCATCCTGAATGGCTCTCCAGGAACACTCACCTTCCTACCTCAGGGCCTTGGCACATGCCTTCCCTCTTCTTCTTGGCGTGCTCTTCTCCTCTCTCCTCCCTTAGTCAACTTCTAGTGACATTTCAAGCTTCAGCTTAAATCTGACTTCACCTAGGATGATTTCTTGAGCCCTCCCCCCCCCCACCAGGTACTGCCACAGGACATCAGTATTTCTGGGCATTGTGTGCAGTCACAGACAAACAATGATTATGATCGTTTATTCACCTTAAGCCTTTCCTACCAGACTGTGACTTCCAAGAAGGATGGGCTCCTATCTAGCTTATTTGCTATGATCTCAGTATCTACACAGTACGCAGGCATAAGGAAGCCCTGAGTGAGCACCTGATGAATCTGGGAGCATCTCCTGAATGAGCCCTGCTGTTCTTTCACGGTCAGGAACTATATCTTGTCTTTTCTCTCATGACTCAGCGCATAGTAAGTGCTCAGTCGGGACTGACAGTGGCTGCTGAGAATATTCACGACTAACTCTGGGAGTTATTGGGGATATTTGTAAAAAACTGATGAAGGCTATAACCACGGTAAATGCCATCCTAATATACAGACCAGACTCCTCAGTTTAATAAAACCAAAATATTGCCTTCTTGCAATTCCCGTTCAGGTTTAGAATAGAATAACCTGGGTTGGGCTTCCCTGGGGGCTCAGTGGTAAAGACTCTGCCTACCAGTGCAGGAGACACGGGTTCAATCCCTGATCAGGGAAGATCCCACAGGCTGCGGGGCAACTAAGCCCATGTGCCACAACTATTCAGCCTGTGCTCTGGAGCCTGCGCACCACAACTACTGAAGCCCACGCGCCCCAGAGCCCGTGCTCCGCAGCAAGCGAAGCCACCGCAATGAGAAGCCTGAGAACCGCAACTAGAGAGTAGCCCCCACGCTCTGAAACTAGAGAAAACCCTGCACAGCAACGAAGACCCAGCCCAGCCAAAACTAAAACATGCGTAAAATTATATTAAAAAAGAATAACCTGAGTTTTAATCATAACTCTTGACACTGGGGAGTTCTAAAACATGCATAAGTTATTGAAGCCAGTTAAGTCTCAGTTATGTCTATAACTATAACATGGAGGTAATGATACCTACTTCCTGTGGTTTTTCACTCATTCCTTTGAATCAAGTATTTGCAGTGAACTGGCCTAGGTGCTGGGGATACAGTGCAAATAAGATGTGGTCACTGCCTTCAAGGGGCTTGGAGTCTAGTGCCAGCGATAGGT